GAGGCTGGGTGGGCCTGTCCCCTTGACCAGCTGTGGGACTTGGCATGTTCTCACCCAGCCTGGACTGTGCAGCGCATGGCAGCTGTCTCAGCCTCTCTCTCCTCAGACTATCGTGAGGCTAAATGACATGGTGACTCTGAAAATGGCTTATCATGGCTGGGAATGTGGCCCACCATTCAGGGTCCTCCAGGGCCCCCCCGTGGCTTCAGGCTGGCCCTCTTGGCCCCTGGCACAGGGCACTATCAGGCCCACACATGCAGACATGCTTGAACATAGCAGTGAGTGTACAGATACGTGTGCCCAGGCACATGCGAACACCAGGATACAGACACTTCCCAACCACTTACAGCCCACCTAGATCAAGGGGTTTCTGGTCTGTGTTGGGGTGCCCTCTTCCCAGCTGTACCCTGAGGGCATCCTGGCTCACACCGATGCAGGGCAAAGGTGGGGTAGGCAAGGATTGGGTCCTTCGTCCCACCTCCAGATAGGAGATGAGGCCGGGGCTGTACTGTGGTCAGGCAGGGCCTGCCTTGTTTCCTCTTCTGAGTGAGGCTGTTCAGTGACCCAGACCGGTGGGGACACCTTGGGCCTCCAGGGTTTGATGGCCTTTCCTGCCCAGGCTGTGTGTTGCCTACCTGGCTGTCCAGGACTGAGTGCTCTGCCGCCTCTGTCTGTCTGGGGGAGGAGGCGCGTGGGAATACAAGCACCAGGCTCTCGAGGTGGGCTTTGCCGTGAGGACACAGCCACGCACTTCCAAGCCAGTCAGTGTGTCAGGGTTTATAGGTGGGGGAGACTTTGGGGGAGCTGTGCTAGTGCTGCGTGGACTTTTGTATCCCCCGAGGGTGGTGACCCCCCATTTTACAGATGAGAAAACTGCTGAAACCCAGCATGGGCTGAATTGGAACCCGACTCCTGTCACCTGCCCCCAGCTGCTCCTGTGCCCCGGTGCTTGGGTGGGGGTCTCCCAGCAGGGAGTGAACACGGGGCTTCTGCTCTGCAGTTTATATCCCCCTGGGGAGAGGAGACCACTGGTGCATGTGAAAAAGCAAAGAAATGAGAAAAGCACCAGGAAGGTGAACGCAAGCAAGTAAAAGTTACAATGGAGCAATGCCTGAGAGTGCTGATCCAGATTGGGGGGTGGGGGTGGGCGGAGAAGACACTTGGGGGTGAAGGTGTTGGCTCTAGGTTTTGAATAAGGTGGAGGAACCAGCTTGTACCAATGCAGACATCAGCAGGTGGAGTGAGGGGGAGACCCCATCTGGCAGGGCCTTGGAGGTGCTGTGTGGAGCTGGGTTCCATGCCTCCTGCAGACCAATGGGTGTCATCAGGGTTAGCAGTGGGGGCGGCAGGTGCCACATAAGGTCTCCAGGGCATCTGGCTGTGGAGGGGGCAAGGAGTGGGGGGTGGGTCCTAGGAGACAAGGTGGGAGCCTCTGGCGATGGTAGTGACTTGCATGAGGGTGGCCTTGGTGGGGAGCGACTTCCAACCAATGGGGCTGATGCTAGTGCCCTGGGGGCCAGGGGACTGAGGCCTGGGCCCAGAGGGGCACTGACTCTGCAGGAAGAGGGCCATGCCAGGGCCTCGGAGGCGCTGGGAGGTCAGGGTGAGGAAGTGGGTGCAGCCGAGGGGTCGGGCAGTGGGCTGAGGAGACAGGAGAAGGTGGTGACTGGGGACCTGAAACAGAAAGTGCCTCTGGAAGAGCGGGTCATTACCTGGGCCAAACGCTGCTGTGAGGCCAAGAAAGATAAAAATAGGAGCATGCCCTTTGGAGCTGGCAAACAAGAGGTCGCTGGTGACCTTGCTTGGAGCTGGCCCAGAGGGCATGGGACGGACACCACCCTGGGTGCTGAGATAAAGGAGGTGGCAGCACCCCCAAGAATATGTGCCCTGAAGGGGGTGGGGCAAGGAACTGGAGAGGATTCAGCATTAGTTGGGGCAGGACTGGGGTGTTTCTGAAAGGTTCTAGAACGATGCCGTCCTGTGTGAGGACCCCGGCCACACTGCTCGGTGGCCTCGTGACTACTGGCTTCTGCAAAAAGGCCCGTGATGCCATCTGCTGGGGGGGGGGCAGGCACATGACGTAGTGACGGGCACGCAGAGGCACTCGGGCACATTGGATGGTGGTGCAGCCGCTGCAGGACAGGGGACATCCGCCCCATGCCGTCTCCACCTGAGACAGACCCTGAGTGGGAGGGCGGGTGGCCAGTGGGGGCAGGTCTGCACCCTTCCCCTGGTGCTGCACAGGGACCGTGTGTGTGCGCACTGGACTAGATGAGGGTGTGCAGGGTGGGCATGACAGGATGAGTGAGCCCTGGGAGGGAGGGCGGTCCTGGGGGAACAACCCCCTAGGCCCAGGCCAGACCTCACGGGGCTCCCAGAACTATGAGGCCACATCCTGTCACCCCACCCTGGGAGTTAACTCTGATGCAGCCTGCAGGCAGCCTCTGAACTGGCTACCCAGCCCCCACCCGGCAGGAAGACGGGCGGGTCACCACTGATAAAAAACTTATCTGTAAAGTTAGTAGTGCAGTTGGAGCTTTGGGGTCCCTCCGAGGTTGGGGCTGTAGAGTGGGCAGAGGCAGCTCTTCCTGGGGTGTGGGGGGGCCAACCACCAGAGGCACTCCCAGCAGACGCCTCCCCTGCAAGGATTCCTCTCCCCTATTCAACCCAGGGGGAGCCTCAGGGTAGCGCCAAGCCTAGTCCCAGGACCACGCCACATACCACCTCTCGCGTGCAGCCGGGCTCAACCAGACAGAGGGGGCTCCAGAGCTTGCATGTGGGGCTCAGGAGTGGCGACACTGGGTGTCAGAACCACCCGCCCCTCACATGCCAGAGGCTCACATTCCTAGGCTGTCTCACTGGGGAAGGGTGGTGCCCAGAGTGGCAAAAGAAAGGGCAGAGCAGGAGCCCGGGCCTCCCAGGGGCCAGCACACCTCAGGAAGTGTCCACTCACGGGCACATGTAGTTCTCACTAAACGTGTTGAGCAAGCATTCACCCCTTGCAAAGCCGGCCTGTGCCGGGTGCAGACCAGCCTGTGCCCACGCGTACGGAGTCCGCACGCGTCGTGTGAGCCCCGTGGGGGTGGGGCAGCACATGCGCACAAGGCCACATGTGTGTCCGGCGCGCCAGCCGGCTCGGCAGACGCCGTAGTGCCCTGGAGCCCTGTCCCTCCTGCCAGCTCCTGCCCGTGATAAGGGCTCTTTAGGGCCTGTAATCCTCCTTAACTTGACTTTGGGTTATTTTGAGCAAGAGATTAAAGGTGATTACAATCAGCAGGGCTGAGGTGCCACACTTGCTGCTTGGGCCTGCTTCACGCGCCCCCTTCTGGAGGCTCTAGGGGCACCACCCTCCCCCCAACACCGGCCTCTATGTTAGGGCTCCTTGCACATCAGAGGAAAGGCACCCCTGCACCAAGGACTCTCAGCTTCTCAGGAGCCCTCAGTAACAGGAATCATGCCCTCCCGCAAGGGGGTGCAGTGGGGAGGGAGCCCCAAAGTCCACCTCACCCCCGGTCTAGATGCTAGAGATGAAGACAGAGATAAACTTCAAATCGCCCACAGCCGTAGAGTTTATATCACAGGTCAGACCCACGCATTTCCTGCCCCACCCCACGGCCACTTCTGACTGGGCCCAGAGAGGCCCAGGGCTTGGCCAGGCATCACACAGCAGCTCTGCAACAAGCTCTGGGGGTGGCCTCCAACCTGGCCCTCCAGGCCCTCTCCCCACTCCATCTGATTGCTCCCATCTTGTTAAGTCAGAAATAGGCTCTTCCCCAAGAACTAGATCAAAAACCATTCTTTATGAAGTTTCCAAAGGGGGAAAAATCCATTTCACATCATTATATATTTTTCTCCTAATTTAAGCCGCTTCAGTGCAGACGAGTTGCAAATGTCAATATCAGTGAAATACACGCTGCTGGCCACCCGCCAGGCCACAGAGCAGTGCAGAGGCCGCTGTAAATCCAAATATTAACAAGCAAACACACACCCATTCCTCTGCCCTACAGGAGAAATACGAGGGACCCAGGGGTGAGCCCAGAAGACCAGCCATCCTACTGGGCAGGGTGGGGTTCAAAGAGCAGTAGGACCCAGTGCACCATCCCACCACATCTGCCCAGATGCACGCCAACTCCCTCCGGGGCCAACAGCCAGGACCCTGCTGTAAATGCCGGCACTGGGGGGTGAGGGGACGCAGCCCTGTGCCAGAGAAGTGTGTGGTCTGGCAGGGATGAGCCAGGCAAGGTGCTCTGGAGGAGGGGCAGTGAGGGATGGGGCGGGCTGAGATGGGGGTGCTCAGGTCCTCCCAGGGGCTTGTTCAAGAGCCAAGCAGGAAGCCATCTGGCGGGCTCACTGGGGAAACTGAGGACCAGAGGGAGCATGATGTGATGTGCCAGGTCATGTAGGAGAGCTCAGTTCCAGAACCCAGCTGCCCTGGCTGCCTGCACGGTGCCTCCCTGGAGAGAAGCTGAGGCGCCTCGCCTGCCCCGGGGCTCCGAGCGCTCCCACTGCGCGGCTGCAAGAGCTGTGGCTGATGCTGCGGGGTCCGACACAGGAGCGTCTCCTGCTAGCCGGAGCCGGCTGGCGAGCACAGCTCCATGCAACACTGGTCTGGTCTCTGGATCCTCATCCGACTAGTGGGTCACTGATGAGGTGGTTCCTGCTCATCAGTGGCCAGGCACACAGTTTTGGATTCGCTACAAGCTACCACACCTATAGACCTGGCTGAGCAGCTGGCGTTACCTCCGCTCTGCCGAGAGGGTACTTGGAGTTAGGGCCAGGGCTACCCTCCAGAGGCGAAGGTAACTACAAACATACCCTTTAGGCTGGGCACAGCCAATCTGCACCAGCATCCCGGTGCCCTTCCTTCTCCTGAGACCCCTGAATGCACCTCTGCTTTCCACTAGGCAGCTTGGCTGAGCTGGACTTGGCTGTGCCTGACCACTCGACCTGGGGGCCGGCCGGCCACCTCCTAACCTGCTCTCTCCTTTTTTGTCTTGCAGCAGGACCGGCTGAGCCGGAAGCACTGGGTGGACCGCTCAGGACACCCAGGTCAATGGGGAAGGAGGCCTCGGCGGCAGGACGTGGGTGGAAGACTCCAGGCGGCTGGCAGTGAGGGGGCGCTCTGGCACCGTGCACCATGCAGTTTGGGACAGGACACCCCTGAGCAAACAGACCCCTCCTCTCCTGCCCCTCTGTCCCTTCGGGGGGTCTCCGCCCGGCTCTCACCTCAGTTCCTGTGGGCAGGGGCCTCCCGCCAGGACTGTCCCGATGGCCGGGTGCCAGTGGGGTGTGCTGTGGGCATGCGTGGCGGCCACCCTGCTGCACGCGGGCGGGCTGGCTCGCGGTGACTGCTGGCTGATCGAGGGCGACAAGGGCTTCGTGTGGCTGGCCATCTGCAGCCAGAACCAGCCGCCGTACGAGGCCATCCCGCAGCAGATCAACAGCACCATCGTGGACCTGCGGCTCAACGAGAACCGCATCCGCAGCGTGCAGTACGCCTCCCTGAGCCGCTTCGGGAACCTCACGTACCTCAACCTCACCAAGAACGAGATCGGCTACATCGAGGACGGCGCCTTCTCAGGTCAGTTCAACCTGCAGGTGCTGCAGCTGGGCTACAACCGGCTGCGGAACCTGACGGAGGGCGTGCTGCGCGGCCTGAGCAAGCTGGAGTACCTGTACCTGCAGGCCAACCTCATCGAGGTGGTCACGCCCAGCGCCTTCTGGGAGTGCCCCAACATCCTCAACATCGACCTGTCCATGAACCGCATCCAGCGGCTGCACAGCTCCACCTTCGCCGGCCTGTCCAAGCTCTCCGTGTGTGAGCTCTACAGCAACCCCTTCTACTGCTCGTGCGAGCTGCTGGGCTTCCTGCGCTGGCTGGCGGCCTTTACCAACGCCACGCAGACCTACGACCGCATGCAGTGCGAGTCCCCGCCGCTCTACTCCGGCTACTTCCTCTTGGGCCAGGGCCGCCACGGCCACCGCAGCATCCTCAGCAAGCTGCAGTCCGTCTGCACAGATGGCTCCTACGTGGTCGAGCCCCACCCAGTGCCGGGGCGCTCATCCCCCGGGCGCTCCCCGCCACCCCCCGCGCCCCCCGAGCCCAGTGAGGTGCCCTGTGCCGACGAGGAATGCTTCTCGGGTGACGGCACCACGCCGCTGGTGGCCTTGCCCACGCAGGCCACCCAGGCTGAGGCCCGTCCTCTCATTAAGGTCAAGCACCTGACACAGAACTCGGCCACCATCACGGTGCAGCTGCCCAGTCCGTTCAACCGCATGTACACGCTGGAGCATTTCAACAACAGCAAGTCGTCCACTGTGTCCAGGCTGACCAAGGCCCAAGAGGAGATCCGCCTGACCAACCTCTACACGCTCACCAACTACACCTACTGCGTGGTGTCTGCCAGCTCTGGGCTGCACCACAACCACACGTGCCTCACCATCTACCTGCCCAGGCCGCCCAGCCCGCCCGGCCCCGTGCCCAGCCCCTCCACGGCCACCCACTACATCATGACCATCCTGGGCTGTCTCTTCGGCATGGTGCTGGTGCTGGGCGCCGTCTACTACTGTCTGCGCAAGCGCAGGCGCCAGGAGGAGCAGCACAAGAAGGCGGCGGCGGCAGCGGCGGCCGGCAGCCTCAAGAAGACCATCATCGAGCTCAAGTACGGGCCCGAGATGGAGGCGCCCGGCCTGGCCCCTCTGTCCCAGGGCCCGCTGCTGGGCCCCGAGGCCGTGACCCGCATCCCCTACCTGCCGGCGGCCACTGGCGAGGTAGAGCAGTACAAGCTGGCCGAGAGCGGGGAGACCCCCAAGGCCAGCAAGGGCAACTACATGGAGGTGCGCACCGGGGAGCAGTCGGAGCGCAGGGACTGTGAGCTGGGCCGGCCGGGCCCCGACAGCCAGAGCTCGGTGGCCGAGATCTCCACCATCGCCAAGGAGGTGGACAAGGTCAACCAGATCATCAACAACTGCATCGACGCGCTCAAGTCCGAGTCCACGGCCTTCCAGGGCGGCAAGTCCGGGGCTGTGTCCACCGCCGAGCCGCAGCTGGTGCTGCTGTCCGAGCCCCTGGCCGGCAAGCACGGCTTCCTGTCCCCTGTGTACAAGGACGCCTTTGGCCACGGCCTGCAGCGGCACCACAGCGTGGAGGCGGCCGGGCCTGCCCGCGCCGGCACCTCCACGGGCGCTGGCGGCGGCTCCGTGCGCAGCCCGCGGGCTTTCCGCACCGAGGCCACCAGCATGCACAAGGTGGGGGCCAGCGAGGCCAAGTACATCGAGAAGAGCTCCCCCGCCGCCGACGCCATCCTCACTGTGACTCCCGCAGCCGCCGCGCTGCGGGCCGAGGCCGAGAAGGGCCGCCAGTACGGTGAGCACCGGCCACTTAGCGGTCACAGCCGCTGGACACTGCTGGCCGTGGGCGTGGCCTGAGGACGGAGGCTGCGCACGCGCTGCGGGCCGAGGCCGCGCCTGCGCCCCGAAAACCGAGACGGTACAGCGCGCCCCCCCGAGAGCCAGCGGGCCCTGAGGGTCCCCGCGGTGCTTTTCCAAGTCAAATACAGTTGTCCATGGTTTAATGTCCAGTCAGGCAAGCTGCGGGAAGCGACTCGAAAATAAGACCCGAGAGGCCGCTCTGCTCCGCCTCCTGCCGCGGGCGCCTGCCTGCCCCCCGCTGAGGGTCCCCCCGACCCGTCCCCCTCCCAGCTGAGGGCCCCCCGACCCGTCCCCC